TAAAACTCAGATCTTTTGGCTTTTGCTCTCATTTTGTCGGCTTCTTTATAATTTGATTGGTGTCTTTATTGCTTCGGTTACAGTGAGACACAGGGCACCAGCTATTAATTACTCCCTCATTTAGTCCAAATGGAAAGCAGCTAACGCTCCCAGTAGTGCTAACTATAGCCCGAAGTAGCACTATAGGCATAACGAGGTCGACAGTCTCATGTGTTGATGTCGCTCAGTAGGTTAATTCGTTTTCATGAATTCATAGGCTATAAAGCAACATAAAGGGAGAATTTTCATAATCTGAAATTATTTTTTCTTTTTTCAACCGTCCACTTTATTCCTTTGTGATATTTTTGGGAAAAACTTCAAGAAGCCTTCGGACTTGAGACAAGAAGAATGTGCCCTTTCCCAAATCCTTCTTGAAAAGAGGTTGACCACATGCACTTTTTGCTTCCCCAAGGGATTTATTCAGAGGAGAGAATTTGCGGCAACCTTAGACCGACATCTGTTAGAGACGGAGAAAAGTATTTGACTTTAACAAAGACTATGATATTGCTTGTTAGGCTCAGCCTCTACTGGCAAGTGCAGATGCCTACTTAACTCTGGCAAAACACGTAAAGGATTTAGCACAACCGTGCAGAGTTAGTCACAACAGCTTTAATTTTCTTTGTGGTTGTAACTTATGCTTTGCTATTGGCCTGTTAGCAGATATATAAGCCTGTGAGCACAGCATCAGTGGGAGGAACTTGGTAAGAGCACCTTGCGTTTCATGCTCAAAGAGACTGTCAAAACATTAAAAAAATAGATTTTTGTATTGTTTTATTTTGTTGACTTTCATGATGTTTTTTCTGTAAGTCGCTTAAATGCCATTCTAACCTTGTGTGGCAAAGACAAGAGTGATGATAAATGTTGGCAGATCTTCCTGGAAAGTGTTGCATCCCGACTTCCATCAGAGTCGATGGGAGCTATAAGGGGTCAGACTCTTAGTGTAAAGGAAAGAAGGAGGTTAATTCTGTTAATATGCATTCTTGCTTCCTGATGTTCTTAAAGATACTAAGTACTTAATTAATACCTTCAAATGGAAGTAAACTTCAGGGAAGTAGGAATCATTATATTTAACAAAGGTTGTTCTCTTTAATGCCATGACCATTATATACTGAAGTAACACAAGCAAATGTTCACTTGTATAAAGAATTTTTTCCCGCTTCCTTCAAACACTTTCTTTCCCCCATCTCTACATTTTTATGTTCCTTATACTTCTCACTAAGTCTCAGCAACAGAAGGCGAGTAAAGCTTTCTAGGACTACCAGGGTATCGTCTATACCCACCACAGCTGAGCTCAGAGGGGAGGGTGTAAAAGCTCGCACTGTGACCATATTGCAGCTTTGGTATGCGGTTTGTCAGTAATGCTAGCCAGCTGCTGGGGCTGTATTTTGTCTTTTTAATATGTCAGTATTGAAGAAGAAGCGATCCTGGCCTTGCCCCGGCTTGGTGGTCGCGCTTCTGTGCCACGCTCTCTCCTGCACTGGCAGAAGCATGTGTGCAGCCTCGCGCCGCACGATTGAGGGACCTGATCCGCAGAGAGGTGGCTGGGGGTAGAAATGAGCAGAGGAGAGGACGGGAGAAGCAGAAGCACTTCTGGTAGCAGTGCTGCCTTTGCTGACTTAAAACATCCTTTGATCCATAGGTTGATCAGATGCTCTGCCAAGAAGTTGCCCTTCCGTGGGGTCTGTTTGCTTTGGCGTGACAGGGTTAGGCAGGATTAGCGTAAGCCATTATTGCTGTTGGACCTAACGGCGATCTAGGTAATGTCCCAGAAGGAGTAAATGGCCCAGCAGGATTGACGCTGAACCGGGCAGCGGCTGAAGAGCTTCCATTCCATGAGGATCGCTCCATGAGGCAAATGGTTATGAAGGCAGAAATAGCATGGACTTCCTTAGGTGATTTTTAGATAACAGCAGTGAGACTTAGTGCCTGTCTTACGGGGGAAAAAAGTGGCTGACTTTCAATGGGCTTAGAAAAGGTTGGTGATTTCTATGATGTACAAGAAATCTGTGGGCTTTTCTGGTGTGGTGAAAATAGGTAGGGTGACACTGTAATAAGTGCTGTGAGCAGTACCGGTATGTGTGCGCGTTTGTAGCTCTCCACGGGATAGAAAATGTTGATGCCTCTAGCTCAGTGGTAGTGAAGAAAAAGAACTGAGAAAATTGGGCTCTGCAGGGAAACACTTGAAAAACCAAGCTTGAAAGGCTTAGTGTTATGTTCTTTCATGAGAGTCAGAATTACAAATGAGCCTCTAAAAGAAAGGTAGTTATGGTATATGTGTGCCTTGTGGGGAGGAGCAGTCTCTATGCTGTACAGTTTTGCTTAGCAGACAACTAATTTCGTCTCCCCCCCACACCCCCAACTTTTTGGCAGGCATGGGAGAGAAAAAGGGGAAGTGTCAGGAACCTTTGTTGTTCTAAAATACAAGGATCCAGTTGACAGGAACAGAGGAGTTGCATTGATTAAGTCTGAGCTTCCGGCGTCATAAGTAGCAGGGATCAGCCATGTGGGTTGGGAAATAATTACAGCGTTGGTTCTGATGACGGAGTAACAAAGCTTGCTTTAAGGCTTCGGTCGCACTGGCCCGCACCGTTTAAAGTGCAGCATTTGCTTCTGCTACTGCTTGCCCCAGCTTGCTTTCTTTAAGGAATTATGGAATTTGAACGTGTACGGTAGGAACTGTATTTAGGATATAGTTTCTTTCCGTAACCTTTTTACTAGACCTCATGTATTCATTTTGCTTACATTTTAAGAATTAAAAAAGTCACGTGTTGCAAAGAAACTCACCTAATCTCTGCACCAATATTAGCTTTCAGCTGCTTAATGTGGTACCATTAGATATGTGCCTTAGAGGTACGAATACAGGTATCTTAAGAGGTTGCTACTGATAAAGCGCTGGGACAAGCCGTGCTTTCTCCATACTTTGGCACATGGTAAACTAAAGAAGCTTGCCCTCAACTTTTCGCGTTCAGAGGCATGTGTGTGTGCCTGATTTGTGTGGGCCATGCAATATTGCAGTTTCTGTGCTGTTTGTGGACTTCAGTCTGCTCGCAAAGAGTAAAAAAGGTTAATAACGTGTCATAGCAATACATCAGCTTTGTACAACTGTAAGGAGTCAAAGTTACCGTTCATACTCCCATCGAAAGTGTTGATGGCTGAATCTGTGAGATTAGATATGAGAACAGGTCTTTGTTCTCAAACGATGAGAAGAACACTCTGTTTCCCCACAAGATACTCTTTCAAAGCTTTCAACCACTGTAAGTAGTAATTATGGTTATTTCATAGTCAGTGAGATTAAAAAACAAGGAAGATGAGAGCTTTCTGAAATGTTTTCAGCCTGCAAAAAATACACTGACACATAAGTGTTCCTCATCTTGATGATTATGGTCAACCTCACCACATAATTTTGGCAAAGAATTCATGCTTGATCCGGGGCATGGTGCTACTGCCGCCCCTGGGCTCTGCAGGGCAGTAGCAAGAGCCTTCCTCTGGAATAAGGAAGATCTGGTTGCTGCTGCTTTACCCGCAAACTGGGATTTGAAACCACATTTCTCATTAACGTTTCCTAACTACCAGGCTGCGTAAGGCTATTCGTCTTTTGGCAGCTTGTGAATGTAGCTTTGCTTCAGTTCCTTTGCTTTTCTCATGGTTGTACTTCTGAACGTGACCACAAAATCTGCCTGTGCTGCTTGCATGAATGTAGAATTAAATGGAGTTACTTCAGAAATGCATTTGGATTGCTGTGTCCGCAGCCATTGGACCTACTCCCATTAAATGCCTCCTGTGAAGTGCCAAGTGCTTTAAAATCCTACTGGGAATGACAAGCTTGAGCTGCCTCTGTGGATGGACAAATAAAAGACCAGAAAGCTGCTTGTTTATTTCGCAGTTTAAATGACTATGAACTGCCTAGAGACAAGTAAAGTGATAAAAATTACACAGTGCTGAACGCGTTGCAAGTTACTCAAATACCTGAGTATCGCTTCTGATGCTCGCAATATGGAAAACAGGAGAATGCTTGAGGGCAGTGGCAGTATCTGTTGCTGTCACCTGCCTGATGTACCGTGAAAAATACCGTAGGATTGTGAAAAATAGGTTGGCAATTCAGTTACAATAGACTGTCATTTTATATTTTTCCCTTGGGTAGAATAAGGATAAGAGGAAGATACAGTTTCCATGGCTGGAATTTATAAAAGATAAAGTATCCTATTCCTATTTATTGTGAAAAGGATTTAGATGCTAACTTTCCTAGGTTGTTTTTTTTGAAAATCCTAGCTCTTATTTCATTAATTTTCTTTTCCCTTTTGAATGAGGTTACAAAACCTCAAAGTTCAATGAAGACTTGCTCATCAGAAACCAGCAGAGGTACCACGTCAAGGTTCAGTATAACTTGCAAGCCACGTGTAATCAACAGCCGTTTTGGTCTACTTGTGCTTTTGGTTTTCTGTTTGATACCAGTTATCCCAGAGGAGAGGAGGAGAGTCCAGGGTTCAGGACAGCTACATCAGCCTGGAATAATCCTGACTGAATAGACACATCCTGTGTAAATTTGGCTAAGTCCTGTGATTTCTCAGTGTTGATAATACCTCAGCAGGGCTAGATAAGGTTGCAGTAAAGAGAAGGCAGATATGCACTCAAATTTTGAAATAATGGGCTCCATGGAGATACCCAAGGTGGTAGTCTGGGGAAATGCGAAACTGTCAGACAGGAAGGAATCTCTTACGGAAACTTGCAAGATACCGTTTGTTTTGAGGTCTTTGTTGCTATGAGAAAAAAGTTATTGGAGAAGTTTGTCACACAGTGCCTTGGCTTAACTAGCCAAGTCCAAAATATCTGACTTATGTAGACAGTCAGCTAAGAGATGTAATAGTATTCCAGCTACTAATCTTCTTCTTATTCCAGGGTAAGGCAGGAATGTGTGTCTTCAGAGATTATATTTGTAATTGATATGGCCCTTGTGCTTACAGAATGGACTCAATGCTCTGCACCTGGCGGCTAAAGAAGGCCATGTGGGACTGGTACAAGAATTGTTGGAAAGAGGGTCGGCTGTGGATTCTGCCACCAAGGTAATTCACGCGTGTCTGTAAGTTTATTCACAGAAACAAAAAGTCAAATGCGTGGGAGAAATTCAGAAAAAAAGATATTGAAGTACAAAATAATATCATATAAATACCTCACTGATATTTAAAACATTGTTTCTATTATGGCCTGCGACTCTACGTTCTTTGCTGAAGCTCATCAGTAGTAAACGAAGAGGGAAAGTTTATTATTTGTACAATCTGTTTACAGGGGAAGCATTAAAAGCTTTTAGCAATGCCAAATTTTTCGTTATTTCCAATGACTGGTCTCCATTATAGAGAGAGTGAATGTAGCTCAAAATAGTAGATTTTTTTCAAATCTGTGTCTCTGCGGCTCTCTTATTTTTTATGATTCCTGACACACAGGATCCTCCATCAAGGTTAACGCTTGGTCCTCAGCTCAGAGCGCTGCTTGCTGAACTTGTGATTTCCTTCATTGATGGAAAACCAGAAGTTCCTTCCTTCAAAAACATCTTTAAGTCACCCCTCAGTGAAGCTGTTGGTAGAACCACCAGGTTCTAGACAGGACTTTGGGGTTTTGTTCTGGTTTTATGAACCTTGTTTGTTTATTAAAGCCGTTGAAATATTGCTCTTGGGATGAGAGATTGGCCTGGAAAAAGTACAAGACTCTTACAAAAGCAGCGGTCTACTGCACTGCTGCTGTTTTGTGAGAGATTATTTTTATTGTGCAGTGCATCTCTTGAAGTTACCACCTTTCAAAAATATGCGTTTTAATTTTATGCCAGTTAGAGAAGAGAAAAAAAAGTTTATCTTCTGTGTTTAAAAGGTTGGTTTCTATTACTTAACAGTCAGATCTTCCTTTTGGGTCTTGTACTAGGAAATCTCATTTTACGTGTCATTCGTGGCTTGAATTTTAGGACTTCTAGATTTCAGCTACCCTCTACAGGGCAGGATCTCTGGACCTGAATGAAAAAACCTGTTAGCCCGTATTACGCTTTACCTAGAAGTTTGTCCCATGCCCCAATCACATTCCATAATTTCACTCAAAACTTATGTTAGGATGTTACACAGCCACTCAAGGAATCTTCATGGCTGCAACTACCAGTTCTATCCCCAGTGATGTTTATGGAACATCATGGAACTGTAAGGTAAAACTGTACTCAAAAAATGAGCGTTATAAAAAACTGCTGGCTGAAATTATTCCTAAAGAAGGGTAATGTCTTTCATTTTTTCCCTCCCTGTAACAGAAAGGGAATACAGCCCTGCACATTGCATCCTTAGCAGGACAAGCTGAAGTCGTCAAAGTTCTGGTTAAGGAAGGAGCCAATATTAATGCACAATCTCAGGTATGATGCTGTTTTCCCTTCTCTCTTCTAAAAGTTATTTGGTGAAATTTTGTAAGATAGATTTGAGATGTTAGGCAGTGATTCCAACATCCAAGCCTGAGACAAATCCATCAAACTGAGGCTTACATAGCATTCAATGGTAAGTAAAATAAAAGTAAATAACAAATTGAAGTCATTATATACTCATTGTGTGATACAGGAACTCGCATTGTTGTTGCTTGAAATCTTTTAGGAATTCCTAGTGTGCTTTAATAAACTGTTTCAGAAATTTTTCCAAGTGTGGAAGTGTTGCATCCTATGTTTAAGTTGAATTTGGTGAACAGTAACGAAGAAGATAATTTCTCAGAGACTTGATTTAGAGAATTGCTTTTCGTGGCTTTTGTTGGCTAAAAATTTGCAGATAACTTACTCCCGGCTTCTGAACTCATTCTTTATGTAATTGGAAAGAATTCAAATCGTAAGTTTGGAACGTACATTGGAACTGGGGAAATTCACCTTGTCCTGGCAGGCAAACCGACTGTTACTAAAAGCCCTGTTATTTCCAGTGACGCGAAGCTTGTCTGCTCTTCCGCCTGCCTGCCGTGATTTCAGAGCTGGAAACAACACGTGGTAGATTCGCAGTGACAGCATACTGCAAACTAGCTAGATGATGGTTCGTTTTCCGAGCTAGCCGTCCTGATCTCCTCTGCCTTCCCAGACAGACGCACTATTAGCACTATAGATTAATAAACCAAGTTATCCCAACACACATTTGAGATACCTGTTATTTCCTCTGTTTAGGATTAGGAACAATTTATCAAATAAATAATGTTTGTAGATGCTACCTTAACTATGGCAACTGTCTGTAGTTATGAAGAACTGAACAGATGGTATAGATAAGGACTATATATGATAAAGAAACTGCATCTTTCTGAAGCATCTAGTCAGCTTGTGACATTCTCAAAGTAAATCGTCGAGCTAACAGTGTTCAAATTGAGTCCCATGCGTCATTCAGTGACCACAAATACCATTTCTGCAGTAATGGTGTAAGCTAAAGACGATGAGAAAAACCAGTCACGCTTCAGGGGTAGATTAATTTCAAATTAAATTTTCCTAGCGCTTACTGTCCATAGGCAAGACGATGGCCCTTAGCTTAATCTTGCTGGGATACATGAGCAGAACAAGAAGAGAGTGATCCGATTTAACACCACAGCTAGGAACTACCTTGGTTGAAGAGAGTTTCAGGAGGCATAGTTGGGCCTGTGTGAGATGCTCTTCTGTCCTCTTCTGTAGCGCGTTCCCTGATCACTGGGAACACAGGCAAGTTTGTGAAAGGTTTTGGTCTGTCAGAGTCCATCCTAAGTCTGGCTAGCTCCACATCTTGTTGCCCAGACCTGGGAAACTGGGACCTGGAGGGTTTTGTTGCTGTTTGGTGTTATAAATTTATGACGGACAGTGTGTAAAGTAAGTAGAGTCGAGGAGATGAACAAATATGTTTATAAAATGAGTAGGTTTGTCCGTAGCTTCGTTACATTTTGAGACAAGAGAGAGAAATTGAAAAGATCTTTAAGCTGCCTGACTCCAAGATTTTTAAAATATTTTCTTTATTATGCGTTTTGCCCCAAAGTGACTGCTGAAGAGCTCTCTCAGGACAACCAATGGTCAATTACTCCCCATGCTCTACTTCCATTAAACATGAGAAATGTCGTAATTCCATTGCTGAAAAATTTAGCAAACTCCTTTCGTAATGGCCTAACTGGATGATTTCTTCATACATTTATCAACCTTTTCATGTGTATAAGAAGATAATGTCTTTAATGTTAGGATTTTGAGCATGGTAAGAGAAATAACTCTAAAAATTATACTTTCATGAAGCACTATCCCTCAAAAAGTCTTCATAAAGGCTTTTGCTTATGCTGGAAAAATAAATGAAGTTTTCTAAATGAAAAAAAAAAATCCTACTAGAATTGGAAATTGTTTTCACAGGTATTATTTTATACAGTATTCTAGTTTTAAACACACTTATTGTTAGTACTGGATGTTCTGTGTAACGCACACAGACCTGTTAACAGGCATTTGCTACGTGAATTAATTGAATGAGTCTGATGGAGGACATCTTTTCCCCAGTACCGCTCACTGGTTGCCTCCAGGCAGGATGAATTCAAACTGCCGTGGATTTGTGCCATGTTGTCTTAATTAAACAAGTCCCGTTGACTTGAATGGGAGGGCGAGTCCTTAATGTAGTGTGATCCAGCTGCGGGGGCCTCTGGGTTGTGTCTTTCTGGCCTGCTGCCCTTTTCCAGACGAGCTGGATAATAGCTGCTTCGGGCAGGAGGAGATGTTCAGAGGCTCTTGCTGCTGCTGCCGAGGGGGCATTTCCAGTGGAGGGTGTCCCTTCGTAGGGACCGCTCTGTCGTGTGGCCAAAGCGCTGTCATGAGCACAACAGTACGCGACTGCACACGGCGAGAGAGGCGCATGACCTGGATCTCTCTTCTTTTTGGGAAATGTTGAATGCGCTTGGGTAGTATCTATTGATAGTATTCAGCACGTCGAGTAGTAGTTGTGTGTGAGCGTTCACGCAGATGTTCCCATGGCACTCATAATTTGAACATGAATCAACAGATGTTGCCTGTATGATGGTGGAAAGGATGTATTTTTTTTTTATTCGGGGCTCTGAGCAGACTCCTAAGAATTTTGTTCTAATACTGATTTGCCAGAGGCTTCCCTTGGAAGATTAAATAAAAAAAGTAATTTATGCCCCATGAATGGAATTAGGGTAATGAATGCTGCCTTTCTACTTAAGATTGCATTCACATGCTCAAGAATCACATGATGTACCATAGAAAATAAATAAGTTAGCAAAAAAAAAGAAGAAAAACAAACTTCAAAATTAATAAAGAATAGACACTTGATTTATGATAAAAGATCAAGAAAGATTCAAGCATACCTAATTACAGCTGGTCAAAAAAGAAAAATATGAAGTTATATAGAAACAGGAAAAGAGAATGACTGAACAGAATATGCTTGAATATTCAAATACTAAGGGTTTTTTGTCAGGAAGTATGTCACTGATGAAAAGGTGAAGAGAAAAAAAAAATCGTATCGGGAAAGAGCTTCATTGAGAAAGTAAGAAATGACCCAAAATACAAATCAAAGGTAAATTTGAAGTAAAAAGTGAGAAATTATGACTGAAGTGCTCAGTTTCTCTTTCTTATGTTTTCTCTCAATTCCATTCTTAAAAATAGATGCTATATTGTCACTCTTAACTCTTTTATGAACGGTTGCTGGTATTGAGGGTATATTACATCCTCTCCTTGGTATCTCTGTTATTTCACACTTTATTTTTTCTAGGCCCCTGCTAAATGCCATTTGCCGGTAGTGATTTAACGCCAGTGAAGTTATTCAGGTTGCTCCATAACTTCCTCTTTAAAAAACTTGGGATCTATCAAGGTCATTCGCATTTCCAGTGAACGACAATTTGCCACAGTGACAAAATTTCTTCACTAATGATAAACTGGTAGATAAAAGAGCGTTCTCAACTCCAGCTTGTTCAGTTTATTGTTTTTCCTTTCCTTTTCTCCAGTAAATTGCATAAAAACACTGGCCTTTGTCAAAACTTAACGCCAGTGACATCTGAAACGCCACGCTGATTTCCCAGTTCCTTGCAACAACGAAATAACAGAATTATCTCAGAAAATGCTATTAAAAACATTGTAACCGCTGAGATTCCAAACCCTGTCTGTGCTATCTGAGACTGTTAAGCATTCAGGACTTGGATTTCATGGATTTTGTTTTTCTATTAGATTACTTTGCTTTGCCCTTCAGTTTCATGTTGGCCTTCAGAGCTGTTTTGTTCATCTTCCTCTTTTAAAAAGTCTGTTCCTTTTGAGCTAATCCATCATCACTGCTGTTTTTAGAAAAGTACTTTCTATTTTGATACAAAGCCTAATTGCACAGTGATTACTAATTGAATGACTCCACTTTCACCTGCGCGCATATCATCTGAGAGCTGACATCTTCCTTGGGTATCTTTCAGGCAAATGCTGAAATGAGGGCAAAGCTAGAAATGGCCAGAGCGATCTAGAAGTTGCTGGTCCTTTTTGGCATACTTCCACCTAGAAGTCGACAAGCGTGTAATTGTTTCGTTCAATTAGAATCACCTTTTGCTGCAAGCATTGCTGGAGAAAATATATTTGTACAATGAGTATCTATAAAACCTTCACTTGGTTGACTCCTCTCGTAGTTCAGTGAGCGGATCTAGATACGCGTCATCAAGTAAATAATCAATTTCTGCAATTTCTTTTCTTGATTTGACCATGATTTTTGGTCACATATAGATCTGACCAAACCCGCACTCATTGATAATATAAAATCTCGTCTGGGGACTGGATGGTGCAAACTATAATGTGAAGTGGGTAACAGATCTCCTGGGGTTGGTCCTTTGAGCTTTGATTACATTTCCTTGCAGAGCAGAACAAGGTCATCCCATGGAATCATGTCATCTTTTGCAGTATGTATTCACTTGTGTGGGCGATCCTCTGGGTACTTCTGAATTTCAGTGGGGAATTCAGAAAAAGTCCTCAGGGGGCATTGAAACGTTGCATTATGCGGAACCATGGAAGTGGCATTGGCCACTTATCACTCTTTCTCACACCCACCCACCCATTGCACACTTTCACTGAGCCCAGTGGTGTCCTCCTTTCACAGCTGGATCACTTCTTTACCCCAAACCTATTCTTAGCTGTTGCTTGTGCATTACAACTTTAATTCTTTTTTGTAATCTTCCTCTCAATAAGTGTCTACTTTTGTGACATATTAGGAATTCTTATGCCAATTCTTCATCTCTTTTCCCAGGTGGAAAAACATCACCAGGTTTAGTCAGTCCAGCCCTTCCCTTTGATAAATTACCGTTTGTCTTTATTGCTTTCTTTTAAAGTCAGATTGTATCATCTGATTCCTGTATAGGCATCAGAGATGTCTGATAACTGGAATATTAGCCTGCCAAATGTGACGATACCCC